AAAAAAAAACATTTAGATGCACGAAAGCTGATTATGCCAGGAATTCATAGAGAATCAATAGCTCCGTGTTGAGCAAACATGTAATTCACCATTAAAAGAGTAGATATTTTCTGACGAGTGAAAAACCTAATCAGAACAAAACAGATTAGTTTTTAAAAAAGTTTACAGTAGCAATCAACTACCTCTATATCCATAAACTATAACATATACGAATACAGCCTAGAAGAGGAGTCTAACAGTAACTGATTTAAGGCTTACTTTGACTCCTTCATCACCAATCGAATTTCCAGACAAATTGAGAGATTTAAGGGCAACATTTGATTGCAAAATTCCATCAAATGCCTTTATTCCATCGGCAGTAATCAGGTTTGAAGCAAAACTAACTTCTTCAGCAGTCTGAAAATGACAAAAGTTAAAAACAAAGGAGAGGGTTCAGCATTAGCAAGCTAAAGTGTCCTGAACTTAAAAGATAAGGTTGGAATATACTCTTACTTGATTATAAGCTAAGCTCTCAGCAAGGAAAAACAGTCCTTCATCTCCAAATTTTTGACCTAACAACACTTGGTACAATTAGACAATCTACTAAGAGAAGCTCCAAATGCTTCTGCATGTACAATGCCAAATAAAGCACAAAAGAAAAAGACAAAAAAGATGTAGTTGGGCTGTTTGGTGAATCGAGGAGGAACAAAGTGAGATTTATGCACAACGAATGAATACAACTACCCAGAATGTCAATAACAGAACTGAATAAGGCATAAATTTTCAGTTACCCGCCATATCAACGATTGGAAATGACCTGAGCTCTTTTGCAATGTCATTTAGCCTCAGTTTGGATTCCCTTTCAATTTTTTCACCAAATGATGATAACAAGTTTGTACCGGGGGCAAAGGACCACTTCATCCCTTGCGCAGGTTTATTCTCTTCAGATACAGGTGTAGAGGGTTTTGGTAGAAGGATTTTCTCCATCAGTTTCCCCAAAACTGTCAGCTGAAATGTTAGTTTAATTACCAACTGAGGATATCCTTCAGAAAAATTACATACACCCTTAAGGATACCAAAGCCAATGGTGGTATAATAATGAATAAACAGACAAAAAATTAATCCACTTCCCCACTACAACCAAGAAAAACTAAAAAAGGATAAATGAAAGATGGACGGAGAGAGAAAGAATAAAGAAAGCCAATGGTAATGAGATTCTGTGGTTCAGTAGCTATGTAGATAGTTAAAAAGAAAAAAATAAAGAACACACACGCGCACACACTTTAGAAACCAGGAGCAAAAGATTCCCAAAGATTATTTGTTAAACAATATACAAACAAAATCAAGGATTTAAGAAGAATTCAGAGATAGGATCATTTTTCCTCACTATGGATTAAAAGGGAATGAAAAGATGCGATATAATCATAGGCTACTGGAAATTATTTATCAATGATCCTTATATTCCTTCTACTCAAGTCCAACCATACATTGCAAATGCATTTAAATAATTCTAAAACTTTCTTCTACTGTATAAGACGATACAAAAAAAGATGTAATAAAGTTATAACTTCAAGTCTTCAATGATCAAAATAGTTCGCAACTTGCACAATTTACTCATATCAAGCTGAACCTAAAGAGTTCCGAAGAAATATCAAAGGCCCAATGTATGTAGAAAAAGAGCGAACAAACAAACTCTCCAAAACAACGATGGATTTGAGACTCAAACAGCAAGGTCATATAGATAACTAATACAATTCATAAGGTTCATGTTAGTGCAGGGAACATATATGCCATTGTCGACTGAAATTTTCAAATTCAGTAAATCATTTAATTCAAAATAATGAACTTTCATTTGAAACCCACTAATGAGAATCATAAATGAACATGCAATAAAAAGAGATATTAAACTCTTATTAAAATCAACGACCACTCAGTTAATAAGTTTGAACTCACCCTATTCTGTAAAAAGCTGAAGGAGTCTGTAATACAAATTGACACAACAGCTCGAAGAAAGCTTATAACATTTGGTTTACTAGAAGCATCATCAATCTACTCAGAACTTAAAGCTACATATACTGGTTTCACTGAAATTCTTTATAATCTCTTAAATGTAAACTTTTTTGCATACACCCAACACGAAATCAAACAATCATGAATAGAAATCAGGTAACTTCTGAAGCAAGCCCATCAGAGCATCCAACCAAAAAGAAAAAAGAAAGAAAGAAAAAACCACTTTGTTCAGGACAACTAACACCTTAATGACAACATAGAGAACACGATTGTATCTTGAAATTGCATACCGAAAGTTGCAACGAGGAAGGCGCCGGCAGGAAGAACAAACGAAGAAATGTCTTTCAGGGGAGCAAGTGGAGCCTGCACTTGACTCTGCTGATAATCTCTGCGAGAGCTGCTGCCAGGGCGGGAATTGCGATCAGCAGAGCCTGCGGCCGCTGCTTTAACGAGGAACTTTTTCGACTGCAACATCCTCGAGGCGAAACTAACCAGTGCAAAAGGGGAGTTAACACCAGGCGCAATGCCATTACTGCTCGTTTCTGAGCTTACGCTCCCAACATCGGTTCTGCGTTTGTTTCGCAATCCGAAATTAATCTGAGACAGCAGAAAATCGGACCATCAAAACAGAAATTACGAGGTAACGAAGGAAGAATTGAATGCTGGGATTACCTTTGGATGAGAAGAGAGAGAAAGCGTTGAAGTAGACACCATTTGAGTATATGAATGAAAATGAAGGTGGTAAGAGTAGTAGGGTTCGAAGTGGGGATGAGTGTTCTGCAAAAACCGGATAGAATGGAGAAGAAGATGATTGATGATGGAGGTCGGAGGAGGGTGTTGTTGCTCCGTTTGCTTTAAAATGAATTGGGCTCCGTCAATTTCAGATGGGTCTCGGGAAGAAGCCCATCCAGTTAGAGAGGGCCTATAGTTAACGAAATTCTTTCATTTGCAATAACTAGTTTTATAGCCGTTTTTTTTTTCCACGACGATAGATTTTATACTAAAAAATAGAAAGGAGTATGTACATGCTGCAAGAAAGCATAATAGCATAAACACCACCAAAGGTGTCCTAAACAAAAGAACACAAAAGACTATTTCAAGAGTCTATTCTGGGCATGAACTGAAGTCATGGGGACTAAGATAGGGTGTTGAAATAGTAGTGCTAATACAAGAAATAGCAACCACAAAAAGGTAACCTTGCCACTGAAACCAAGGACCTAGCAAGCTTACCACTACAACAACCAAAGCAAAAAAAAAAACTAAACTAGAAAAAGACTGAGCTAGCTAACAAGAGGGAGCAACAACTCAAGACCATCAAGACTGGAGCACTTCAACAGATTCCACCCAGGCTGAAGAGGCTGCTTGGGCTATGGTGAATTCAGGAAGCCAATGATTTTGAAAGACCCTCAGGTTGCGGGCTTTCCAGATCCACCAGAGAAGGAAGATGGTTAGCTGAAGTCTTCTATCTGCCATAGTGTTCTTCTTCAGTGTGCTGAGCTTGATCCACCAGTGTTTAAAAATATCAGTGCTATCTTCAATGCCATCCCAATCTAAAGCAGCCAATTTCCACACAATTTTTGATTTGGCACAATGGAATAGAAGGTGCTTACCAGTTTCCAGATCATCTCCACATATTTTACACACAGGGTCAATGGAATTAATCCTCTTGTGAAGAGTTTGGTTCACAGGGAGAGTGTTGTTGAAGCATCTCCACAAGAAGTGCTTTAGCTTCTCTGCAATTTTCAGAGACCACATTTTGTTTCTAGCTGCTTGCACTTCTCTGGTCATCAAGCTGCATTCAGGGATATCTAGTTTGTTCATTTCTCATCCACCAATACTCTGTAAACCTCAGCTACTGATAGGTTACCAGATTTGCAGTGAGGCTAAGTGAGCTTGTCCTCAAGCTGAAGGTCCATTCCTTTGATGTTGAGGATGGCTGAGCTTTCATTTTGTGGGAAGCAGTGAAGAATCAGATCCACATTCCACCTTCTTCCTGTCTCATCCAAAAGCTCCTGAACCTTTGATACTCTGTTCTTCCAAGGATTGCTAATGTTGGGCTTATGAGAGAGTAGGGATGGAATCCAAGATGAGAATTTCAGATCCCCTGTTCACCTTGAAGAGGACATTTTCAGTAAAGAAGGATAAGGTTTTCCTCCAACTTTCCCATAGCCATGAAGAATTTGACTGGGTTTTGGCTGAGAGAAGGGAAGAAGGTGGATACTATTTAGCTTTGATGACTCTGCTCAATAAAAGTTTTGGGTGGGAATGGAGTCTCCAGAGCTGCTTTGCAATTAAGGCCTTGTTCATTAGATGAATATCATGGAATCCCAGTCCCCCTTTGCTTTTAGGAAGGGTGATGAGATTCCATGATTTCCAGTGTATACCTTGGGAACCTTGGCTCTTGTTCTTCCACCAGAAATCAGCAAAGCTTTTGGCAATTTTTTCACAGGTTGCTTTGGGCAGCATGAAGCATGACATAGCATAAATAGGAAGGGCCTCCAGAATAGCCTCCAGAAGGATTTTCTTACCTGCAAGAGAGAGAAATGTGTTTTGCCATTTGGAAAGCTTGTTTTGGATAGCTTGGTCAATGTAAGAAAAGGTTTCCAGCTTTGATTTGCCTATCCTACGGGAGAGACCTAGGAGGCAGCCGCGCCAGTAGCCTGCGAGTCCCAGCTCTCGCGCCTGCAGAATGGCTCTAACCCGCAAGTTCCTTCCCAGGCGCACACTGCTACCCTGCGAGTTCCTACACTCGCGCCCGCGAACAGCGCCCCTTGCCCGCGTGTTCTCCTATGCGCGCCACAGCTCGCGAATTCCGCACGACTGTGCCCGCGAAGTCCATGCTAGCCGCGAGTTTTCCACCCAGCACCAAGCCACACTCGCGAGCTTCTCCTCGCCCGCGAAAATCCGACTTTTGCTTGCGAAATTCACCTAGCCTGCGAGTTTTTCTCATTAAATGTGTGTGTTTTTAGTGTGTGTTTGTGGTGTACCTATAAATAGACATCTTGCTTTGTAATTTTGAAACAATTCCTCATTTGCTAAATTTTTCTTTTTAGTTTTTCCTCTCTTCTCTCTCTAGTTCTCTTTCTCTCTCTAAGGGCTCCAAGACCCTATTTTTAGTGTAATATTTCTCCGTCAAGATTACAACTTTAGGGCTTATTTCTTCTCGTGGATGCATTAGAGACATGGAGACTTTGCTTAAGGTTCATGATTTCGTTAGTCTTGTTTGTCTTTACTTATTGGATTTATTCTAGGGTTAAGATAGGCACATCCATGAGTCGATTATGCTATCATCCTCGTATGCTAGGGATTATGTGATATTGTTATTGATTGCATGAGCGAGAATTGATTGAGAGGTTAACTGATCACGAGTGACTATCGTTTGGTTGCATGTTCCCGAACCTATGAGGGCCTTCTTTCCATCTCGGGTCTAGGAGTACCTTGTTATTTCTTTTTTTTTTTCTTTTTTATTGCAATTTGAGGTGTTGCTTGCTAGTTATTGTTGAATCTTGCTTTTGTTTAGTTTAAAGTTGCCATCTTTAGCTTAATCAAACCCCAAATTGCGAGTAGAGTGTTTGTGATCTTTATTTTCTTTTCTTGTATGAGTCGGTCGTTGATTGCATCCGTGTCCGAATAGCCTTCCTTTGAGAAAGACCCGAGTCCGGGTAACTCGGTTACCAACTACCCAAAAGTACTACAAACAACTCGGGTTCGCTGGCGACGAGGGGTGTAGCTAAGGAGATATTTGAGAGGCTTTTTGTATGAGGGAATGAGAGGAATTTTGATAGAATTCGTGGCTGGTGTTCAAGTTCGAAAATAAGATGAAAAATATGGCTACAACCTTGACTTGGAGTGGAAGAAAATACAATGGGGAAAAAGGATCTCTCTTGCCAAATTAAGTGTGATTTGAGCGGCCAATTTGGAATTTTAGGGGCTGATTGAAGTCTTAATTGATCACAAAAGACTTACCATACATGGCCTTGAAGGGTTTGAATATTGAAACTCAAATAGATCTAAAATCTTGGCACAAAAATAGGAGAGTTCTTGGCCTTATGTGGCTGGTTCGAGGCCTTAAAAGGGCCAAGTACTTGGGCTTGAAAAATTGGCCATAATGGCTAGATAAAAAGACACACAAGACGATTGCGTTTGGACTTAGAAATCAAACGAATTTTTGCTTAACAAACGAACTAATAAAATTTGGAATAATGTAAGTAGACGAGGACATCTACAAAAATTGTTTAATTCACTAGATTAAAAATATGAGGACATCTAGATAATCTTAACGAAAATGAACAAATTTGACGAGTTAACAGAACAAGCAATAAGTAAAGAAATTCACACAGACATACAATAAAACAACCTACTCTTAATAATCGAACGGGGCACTAGACTAGGGACCCCGAATGTCTTGGTAGAAACTCTTCGAAGAGGTACGCATGTCGATGGATCGACCTTAGACACATAAGAAACAAACTAAACTCGTGAGTAACTTACTTCAAAGGGGTCAGGTCGATCGTATGATTAGACCGTCTAATAGGGCAGACAAAGAGATAAGAAGGAATATAATTGGAATAAGAACCACACGTGGATTGGACCACGTGCCTAATAGAATTAGACAGTTCAGGCACCCGAGCAGTACAGACAAGTAGGTCAAGCACTCGCGCAGCCCATCCTAGTAGTCTTGGATAACAATATAACACCCCTATATAAAAGAGTGAGGTAAGTTCGTTTACACACTACACACTATTACATACATACATACATACTACAATGCTACTATTCATCGTCTTCTTTAAACACATTCTGACCTGATCTTCAGAAGCTCTACCTCGGGACCACTCCTGGAGCTGTTTTGAAGATCTATCGAGTCGGTCGAAAACAGATCAAAGTCGTTCAAGTCCAGTCGAGGTTGGTATACACACCACAACACATCAGATTAATATGAACACACTGATAAAACTATGAATAAATTAAATAATTTGAATTTCTTTTTTTTTTCTTCCAACGATAGATGTGTTGATATCTGAGTTAGCCGGGGAAGAGCCGGATAGGGTCGACCACCCAGAACCCGGGCTAAGCACACAGTTCAACACAGAGGTGTCGAGCTGGACGGCGAAATTAGGTGATCAGGGCAACCGTAAGAACCGTTCGCGAGATCGACACTTGATGAACAGTAGACTGAGGTGCCGACCTCGCCAGACGCCGTGAAGAAAAAAGAATCCAGAAGACCTCAGGAGCATATTGGGTAAAAGTGCCGACATGAGGATCTTGAGAGGTCACCTTTGAGACGAGCGTGGGGATCAGTAATAATAAAATATTCCCCACTTGGAAGGTCATCATTGAGTGATGGGACATGATGTCATAGCCTGCAACTCTACAGTAAAGCCTAGCCAAAAAGCCTGTCGGCATTAAATGCCTCCCATGCTTGCATTAAATGTCTGACAGGCAATGATTGAAGAAACCTCAAATCACATTAAATAACTGTCAGGGAGGCGCCGAACTACTCTGCAGAACTACTGTGCGACAAGACTCGTGAACAATACCCCATTTAAGGATACTATAAATAGCAACCCACTTCATTTATTTTGGGTTGTTGAATCCTCAACTACTCTGCCTTCTCTCTACTTTCTCACTCTAGAAACCTGTAATAAATCCCTATAATAAATCAAAATTTATTGCAAGTGCCGAACTCGTATGAGAGTGCCGACCTCTCAACT